ATTAAATCACAAATCTAATTCACGTGACGAACAGACTTGACCTTTTCATCCATGACCTCATTGGCTCTGAATAATTCCACAGTTTTCCAACTCAGAGCAGATGCTTTTTTTTTCCTGGACACAGTCAGAGAAGAGAAGAAACAACCTTCTGTTTCTTCATTGACTTTTGTTGGTGGCTGGACGGTCTTTAGAGAGGCAACACTGCAACCTACTGGGCCTTCAGGTCTTCACTTCTCTGCTGTTGGAAACACCACTGTTTACTTCCTGTTCCATTTCAAAACTGTAAATTGTTTAAAAATTACTTCCTGTTCCCCTTCAAAACTGTAAACATTTTAAATGATTTTAATAATTTACTCTCTCATAAAAATGTCTGAAGCTGCAGATTTATTTCCCAAACTTTTAAACTTGTGCCGCCAGGTTTCAGGTTTTTACCAACTGTTTCCTCAGAGTTTATGCAGGAATGATCACTGCACTAAAGAAAATTGTTCATTTAAATGTGAGTCATCCATCTTGATTTTTTTTCCAGCACCTTTTTAAGTAAAGAAAGCACAACAACAACAACGACAACAACAACTCGTTTTCCGGTCGCTGTATGAACAGTTTGGTGACAACGAAACAGTAGAGAAACGTGGAGTTGGGAGTAAAAGGACACGATGAACCCCCCCCTCTCCCACCCCCCCGTCTGATGCACGTGTTTGCCAGCGGCAGGCACGGCCCCATGTTGACCTTTACTGCCATGTTTAATGCAAACAATACACTACAGACGTGGTCATCGAGGGCTGCAGGGGCTCTGGATGTTAGAAATGGTGGATAATCACAGAAATATATTCATATTATATATATAAATATATATATATATATTATTTATTTATACAGGTGTACACAGACTCCCACTTCAAGCTGAGAGCTCGGGGATGAACCTCAGAATACTAAATTGTAAGAGAATGGCACCAAAGAAACGCACAGTAGAAGTATTTATAAAGACATAAATAATTTCCCCGGCACTTTGGGCTCATACATGCTGATAAAAGCAAAAGGACTTGAAAGCCGGGGTTTTTTTTCAGCGAGTTAAAGAGAGAGCTATGTGAGGAATCAGGGCTGAGATATGACAACCAATATATTACAAGTGTGTGTGTGTGTGTGTGTGTGTCAGAGTGGAGAGATTATGTAAGATTGATCTACCTCTGTGGGCTCCCTCTGCAATCTCCCTGACATTTAGAAAACAAAGGTCACAAAGTCTAAATCTGCGCAGACACCAATGCTAATATACTCATGTAGAGACAGAAGAAATCTGGACGGACGGGTGGCAGAAAGATGGATGGACGGGTGGCAGAAAGATGGACGGACGGGTGACAGAAAGATGGACGGATGCTGGGATTATCATTGCCTCAACAGGAAGATGGACGGACGGGTGACACAAAGATGGACGGACGCTGGGATTATCATTTGAAGTTTTTGCCCTGAAACCAAACTGTGTCAACCAACCATTACCACAATCAGAATCAGAAGCAGTTTTATTGGCTGGAACGTTTGAAAGCAGACCAGGACTTTGACTCCAGTCTTTCTGTTACTCTCTTAGGTTTAAACAGTTCACATAAAAAGTACAAGAAGGATAAGAATTAAACAGAAAATGGCAGGAGGGCTTCGAAGCGAGGTAAGTTTGTTTCATTGCTTATTTGGTGTTTGGCCAGTTTTGGCTTTTCCCTCATAAATGAAATACATGTTGTTTTCTACTAAGAACGATCAAAAAATAAAATGTGACTTTTATATGAATTCATTTCATTTCCATGAAGGATTGGAGCCATCTTTGTTCAAACCTCCCGTTAAAAACAATTCGATTACACCGCCCAGAAGTGCATGAAATCAAATTCTGCTATTTTAAATTGTACAAAGACACAAACACACACTCACTCACTCACACACATCCACATTGGTTAACGTCCACGTCTGCTTCAGAATAAAACTAAACCGTATCATTTGGTTGAGGCGGAGGTCAGTCCTCCCTGTACTGGTCATCAGCCAACCAACCAACCACGTCTTCCCTTGAATAACATTACGTTGGTCGCCAATTAAGTTTGTGGCAGCATGCTATTTGGCTAATCGGAGCAGAGCCCACCACACCCATTTCCCCTCTGGTCCACTGCAGTTCTTTTGTTCCCCCTCCCGACCCTCGACAACCACGCTGACTTCCTGCTTCCTGTCGAGGCCTTCCAACCACAAAGAACCCTAAAAATAAGCAGCTGGACTTTTCCTGCACACGGCTTTGTTACCATTGTTCAGACATCAGCTGTTTATTCACACTGAGCTCGATTCGGCCCAGCGCTGGAGCGAGTCAGTGGGTCGAGGCGTCGCAACACGGTGGAGGAGACAAAAGAGAAGAGCTACTGTCCGGCCAAGAGTGCTGCAGAAGTTATATTTAATTGTATATATATATATTTATAGATACTGTACATATGAGCATTTTTGAGATGTAGGAATATAGAACAAGACTATATTTGCCGGTTTCATAGTGTAGCGGTTAGCATGTCTGCCTCGGAAGCAGAAAGTCATGCGTTTGATTCCCAGAGGAACCACATGCTTGATTGTTAATCCTCCTCTTGTACGTCGCTTTGGATAAAAGCGTCTGCTTAAGACATAAAAATGTAAATACACTGTTATTATATGCACTCTTGGCCTAAAATTAAATGTAGTTCAACTGATCCGTCTCAGTCATCCAGGTCATACTGTAGTACTACTTAGAGTAGATTAGAATACCGGCTTACAAGGTGTAATGACATGAACATAATAACATGAGTTATGAAGTTGTTTTTTTTTTATTAATCTTTGTTTGATGCTAAATGCTAAAACACTTTTAATCCTGTAGGAGAATCTTCTCCCCACAGAGGATCATCACGGTCCCTTACACAGACAGGACTTTCTAAGGTGTTGACGTGAGACCACACAATCCCTCATCCCACAAATAAAACTGTCAGCGAGCCATGAAATTAAAGTGTTTGTCATAAACAGTGGTAGCTGATGACTGTGGGTAGAATTCATCCAAGCGGCCTGGGAGACACAACCAACGCTGGATAACAAGCAGTCAAAGGCCCTGGGCCTGAAATATTTTCATACTGAAAAAAAAAAAAAATTAAAATAATACATGTTGTGACATAAGCCACCTGACAACAGAGAGCCAATATCCCTGGGTGTCGGCAACAAAATGCACTCGGAGCGATGATGGAAGGATAGAAATTCAGGCCCCCACGAGGCACGGGGTGGGGGGTGGAGGGTGGGGGGATGTAACTCCATCACAGCACAAACAAAAATGTCTACATGCACAGACAGGCAGGATCTGACAAAACACAGGAGGAAAATACGGCCAAACAGGATTCACCGGTGAGTCAGAGAATTAAGACATGGCAGCGTTCCTCCAGTGAGCACGCAGCCATCTGAAATGACGGTGGAAACGGCTTTTGTGGGGAGTAAAAGGAAAAGCCTCTCCACACTTACATAAGAGAAAAGGCTCTGAGCGGGAGCTGTCTGTTCTCCTCACACACACACACACACACACCTGACAGGCTGAAAACCATTGTTTGGAAGTCACAGCCTCGGGAGTCCGTGTCGTAACCACCTGCACAGACTCAGTCGGGGACCAGAACCTCATTACAGCCAGCAGTGTTAGCTGGTGACGGCAGGAAGTCACGCAGAAGAAGAGTTCTGGAGTCACGGCTGGACCAAGAACCAAGTTCTAAATATCAGAACAGAGACTTTAAGACTAACTGATGATTCATTTGCTCAACAGAGACTTTAAGACTAACTGATGATTAATTTGCTCATTTGAGAGACGAAGTATGAACCTAAATACAAACACACCTGTTGAATACCACGCCGTGGTCCACGTGAGAAGTCACTCACCTCAACACTGCCAGACTACTGGTTTAACAAGACGCTGCAGGGAGTGAAAATTCAACTGACGAGGCTGCATACAGAATTTAATTCAAATAAAAAATTTCTCCCCGTCTTTAAAATTTCTAGAAGACTCCGTGACATCTTCAACAAAAGGTCAGAGGTGAGAAGAGACAGAGGGACCGTGACTTAACACCGCATCTGTACAATCTGTCAGCGTCTGACCCTGACATGAAGAACAAGACCAAACAAAGAAGAGGAGGAGGAGACTCACCACCGGACACCAACACAGATCTGGTTCATATTTTTCACCAGCAGTGAAATCTGGGATCCAAGAAACGGAAGCTGCTGCAAATAAATGTCTCTCATCATTCACCACAGCAGACGCCTCCTGTGTCCACACACTTCACCCCAGGGGAGGGCCGTGACACCGACTCTCACACAAAGGGAGCATCTCTCTTCCCCTCTCTATTTCTCCACCAACACCCCCACTTTTCTCTCTCTCTCACCCACACACTTTCTCTATTTAGCTCACACTTAAAAAGGCTGCCTAAAGATAGGAGCAAGAAGATGAACAGGAGCCAGCCAGTGTCATGGCAACAATGTGCAGCGGCTCACAAACACTAATTAGACCAGCAGGAGAAAAAAAAAATAATCACAGCCTAAATGTTGTGGTATCACCTATTCACAGAGTTTACTAAATATCAATGGCAGCACCGAGGGCCCGAGGCTCATGATTCAGAACTCCGACAACATCCCTGTCTTTAGAACTCTCTTTTTATTCATTGTGCTTCTAATGGTTTTTTGTTTTTTGGGGGGACTTTCACTTACAACAAATTCCTTAATATTTTATTAGGGAGAAAAACAAATGCTGAAAAATAGTGATATTTTGTGTAACAATATTCTACAGCACTGTATTATTAATTATTAACACGCAAATATTCATGGCGTCGGTTCATGTTTGTGTTGCGTTTAAATCTCTGACCACTAGTTGATTGTACATGGACTGATTATATTTGCAAATATTTAAGACAAAACAAGTAAAATAATCTTTTTTTTTTCATTTGTTTATCCAAAAAATAAAATGTACATGAAGATGGAAGTAAAAAACTTACAATGTTGACCTGCAGCGGTTCTGACCCAGGTCTCAGCAGCCGTCTTCTTCTGCAGCTCCCAACGCCCCCTGACCTCAGACGCACCGACGACGATGACTGACCCATCTCTGCTGGGGGAGACACGCGGGTGAACACTGAGCCTTGATCAAATCTGCGATCACGGTTACTAAAAACTGCGGTCATACCTGACTTTGGCAGGAGCAGCGCCAAGGCGGTGAGAGTGCTGGGTGGCAGCGGCAGGGAGCTGCACCGCTGCAGGGACGTCCTGAGCGGGGGCTCTAGCGGCGACACCCCCGGCGGGCGAGACAAGGCCTGAAGGGTACTGAGCAGTTAGTCTGTCTCCTACGGTCCATACGGCCTCATTTCTAACACACGTCAGCTGCTTTCACTATCGAGACATGGTGCCTTTGTGTCTTTTCGCAGTGAACTTTCCACTTCCTGCCCGTCTATTCTGGTCACTGGTTGGCATGCATGCCCCGCAGCAAACCACGAGAGAAGATACATCATGCCAACCAGGCGGTCTCCCAGGTTAAAATAAAATGAATGTGAGTTAGGGCAATGAGAGGTAGAGCTTATGGGAGCGATGAGGCAGAAAATTGGCAACAGAGAAAAAAGGGGAGGGGTAGAGGAGGGGGGAGGAGAGTCAGAGGTAAGCAGCATCTAGGTCCAGAAACACTCGGTAAATGGGGCGCATGCATTCACTATGGCTCCAATGAATGAAAATGGGGTTAGTGCAAGGCTGTCGGGGGTGGGTGGAGGGTTGGGTGGGGGGTGTCTGACCTAACTACCCAGCTAAGTTACCACTCTACCCTCTCCCAGAGTCAATATGTCATGTAGAATTCTACTCAGCTTCTATACTGTGTATGTGTATTCTTGTTCGTGTACATTCAGAGTATTCTTCTGAAACATCAGTGCATCTTACTCTGCCGTGTATCTCCATGGACTGCGTCTCCCTAGTAACACTGGTCTCTATGACAGAGCAGGGCCTGGAGCGAGCAGCCGTCCATCTCTGCCCCAGAGAATGTTGCATGATGGGAGCGGGCCCGTGCCTCCGTCGGCACAGAGAGCCCACCTCGCTGTAGTGGCCGTAGACGTCATGATCTGTGCCGGGCCTCCAGTGGTCCAGGACGGCCGAGGCCGGGCGAGGACGGAGGCGGTGGGGCCGGTGGTGAACAGAGGTCCTCTCTGTGCTCGAGTAGGCCACGGCTGCGCCGGGCTGTCTTACGCTGCAGCCGGTCTGGCTGGCAATCTGCTCACACAGCTGTGATTGGCACAGACACTCAGGAGTTTGGCCCAGAAAAGGTACTGCTATTCAAAATGTTGTTTTTTTTGTGCAGGAAATTGGAGGGAACACTACTGAGTATTTTTAGCCTCAGCACTTAATAACAGTTAATGTTTAAAGTGTGTAAAAAAACAAAAAAAAACAGAAAAGTGGACACAGTTATGTGTTGACTCAACACATCTCCTAAATTGCAAAACTGCATATTAACTACTTTCCCAAAACACAGATTCACCCTGACACAATAACCCCCCATACAGACGTGTGCTGACTGCTGAGATGTCATATCTGATTTTATCATTAGGCGTTGGGGAAAACATGTCCTGACTGGCTGTACTGACTAGAAGGAAGATGACTAATGCCTCCAGTGGAGTGAGCAGGGAGAGGTGCCATCATGAAGCATGAACGTCACACAGCTCTCAGGCTAACGCCGTCACACACGGTCAACTTGGTAGGAAATTGTTTTTTCTTTTTTTTTCTCTGCATGCTTCTCGAGGCTGACTAAGCAGGAAAGGACAATCTCTGGTCCAACAAAAAATGTCCGACTGTTTCCTCTTTTCTCCAACAGATGGGGCAACAGGACAAGTGTAGAATAAATGCCTAGTTCATGGATTTAAAGGCTGGCATGTTGTTGGGTTTTTTTCCTGGTAGTTAGTGAACCACACCTAGTGAACAAGACCTGGAATATGAGTACCAGCTCTGGCTGCGTTGTGGTTGGGTGATAATGACTGTGACTGTATGGTGGTTAAAACAGTTAGATGAATGACACAGGTGATATTTGGAGCATTTATGCAGCAGTTACACAATTCATGCCTTTGGCAACATTAATGATGTTGAAAAGCCTGCAATGGAATGTGGTTATGGTATTAATGTGGGGGCAAATCACACGTGGGAGGGCGAAGGGGGGTGTTGTTTTCACACACGTAAAATAAATGACTGAAAAATTCATCCAATGTGTTCAATAAATTCATGGCTCTGATATAATCACAATTTATAAAGTCACATACCTTAAATATTTCCTCGGTGGAATCGGTCGCTGGCACGCTATTGGCTGCATTCTCTTTATCACTCTGCTGTGATTGGACACTTACTTCCTGTATCTGGTTGGAGTCAGGTGGAGCATCCTTGGAATCTGTCTCATTTCCTGTGTGTTCATCTACCTTCTCCTCCAGACAGACACGCTGTGCTGGATTCCCTTCGACCTCTGCTCCTCTGTCGATGTCCGTGTCTGGACCTGAACGGCCGACATGATTTTCATCGGCCGTGAAATCCGTCCGCCTGTCTGAATGTTTACCTACGTCTCCTGAACTCTGGAGGCCGTTGACTGCGTTAGAATTAGGGCGAGACCTTAGAGATCTGAGGACCGTCTCAGGTGACTGTGCACCAGTGGACGGCACCGTGGCCTTACTGTCAATGCTACTGAAGGTCGAAGATTTAGAGTTTAGTGAAGACGATGGAGCAGCCGGGGATAGTTGAAGGACTTCACTGTGAAGTGTCAGAGACACGCTGTGAATGTTATCCGCCGTGCGCTCCGGGGCCCGCAGCGAGCTCGTGGGAGACGAATCACCTTCTGGGGGAGAGAAGGAACGTGACGTTGTTCGCCATTTCCTCGCCGTCTCTGCTACACTGCTGAAAAACTTGAACAGACCCCCAAAGTGTCCCTTGGCATCAGAATGTTTAGGGGGCGGGGGCTGAAAGTCCTTGACCGTCTCGAAGTCCACAGAGCCGTAGTCTGAGTCGATGGTTTTGTCCAGAGAGTAGAGCTCCGAGTCGAAGCTCCTCTCTGAGTAAACAGAACTGGTCTTTCCCAAGAGAGAGATCCTCCTCAGGTAACTCCAGACGTCCTTGCGCCTCCTCCCTCTCACCTGGTGGGTGTGTGAGCTACACTTACCGCCGGGCTCTTCAGAGCCAGCCGCAGCTTTGTTACAGTTAGTTGAATAATTGTGATTTTTTTTAACATACAAAACTCTTTCTGAGGGTTTAAAACCGTTCTGAGTTACGGCCTCTCCAACGGCCGGAGGTTGACTCTCGTCGATGGTGGCCGAGAGGTCGATATCTTCGAAGGAGCAGTCGAACTCTGCCGAGTATCCGGCGTACGAGTGCCTCTTGCCACAGTGTCGGAGCGTGCTTTTGCTGGGCTGCTGCGGAGTGCCGATGTTGTGGCAGAAAGATTCCTCATCTACTAAGGAGCTGCTGAACTTCGCCGTTGATAACCTCTCTCCTCTGCCTTTGAACACCGACGGCGATTTGAGCTTCTTGATGGAGCGGACTCTGTCGGCAAAAGTCAGTTTAGGGATGGACGCCTCCCCGGGCAGGATCATGGAGTGGGGCCGCCGGTCAAACTCAGAAGCAGCTCTCCTTCTGTTCAAGATCTTCCAGATGCCCCCTGACGCACGGGGTCTCCGGTTGACCTCTGACCTGTCCTTGACAGATACCTGAGGACAGGCGGCCTGCGTCCCTCCGTGCCAGTCCGCCTGTCCTGGCCCAAGCTCCTGGATATAAACACTGCTGCTCTCATTCTCCACGTCCAGAGACACATTAAACATCCGGTTGGCGAACCCGTTTGGGTTTTTGTTCTCAAGCGCCAGGTTTTCTGTCAGTTCCATCCTCTCATTCCTCCGTGTCAGCTGTCGGCTCCGGAAGTCATCCTTTCTACAGCCGCTTTCAGTCAAACTTGAACTCCTGAAAAATATTTTGTTTTTTTAAAAAGTTCAAATTTAAATCAACATAGTTTTAATACAAAACACTATTTGACTTTTAAATGACTTTCCCAGCAGTCTTCAGATGAGGGCTGTACCATGGACCAGTACTGGTACAGTGGGACACAGTAGAAAAATGTACTTAATTTTTACTAATTGACTTCATTCAAAGATAATCTGGTAATATTTTAAAAATAATACCATTACTAACAGAATAGAGACTAAAAGATGTTTTATTTTGAAAATCAACAACTGGCCCGATGCTACCGTTCCACAGTCAAAACAACATTCACACCTGTAGTCATCTAGTGTGAACAACTAACTATTAGTCCTGCAAGTTTTTTGATACAGGCGCACATGTAAACAAACAAACTCCAAAACTCCAGTTACTACCAGCGATCAAGCTAGTAACAGCACTAACCAGCCTGACATTGTGTGTGGCTAACTTTTCAAGTTAAAAATTCAGATGTGTGGCTAACTTTTCAAGTTAAAAATCAGAGCTGTGTTTAAAAAAAATAAAAAAATAAAAATACATAAAATATACAATATTCTAACCCCAATATTTGGTGACAATTTTCCAAATAATCATCTGAAACGCGGTCCTTCCCATGTTGTCATGGAAACATTCAGTACAGTGGGATGTCTGCTATCGGGCCTGTGACGTCATCAAATCTCCCTCTCAGTATGAAGACACCGGAACACATTATAGTGCCATATGCTAATGACTTCCACCTCTTAATCTCTTTATATATTTGGCCACATCCGGGTCCTACAGCACACCGTACATTAACACTGGAGTTTTAATGAAGTACAATCATCACCATGACGGTATATTTAAACGTCGAACAGCTACTTAACATATTCTAAAAATACTTAAATACATTTAATACATATATATATATATAAACATCCCACTCCTGTTAGGTAGCTTTTAAAGCAGGGTAAAGTATAAATTACTCAACAATATCCACATAAACGTTAGCAGTTACACACCGAGTAACTTTAACTCGGCCCGGCCGTTTATTTTTTTAACGTACATTTTTAAATGGCGTCATTAATAATACCGGACGTCTTCTCTTAAAAAACAAAACAAAACAAATGCTACTTATTCCGTCGTTATCGAGTTCTTCACAGAGACTAAAGAAGAGGAAACGAATGTTCGTTTAAGTTTATACGAGCAGGTGAATATTAAAAAAAAAACTTCTAAATAAAGTTGATTCTGATTAATAGACTAAAACACTGGCAGTGACAGCCGAGCGGTGCTCACCACAAATGGTTCCCGGGTTAAGCGGGCATCGCCGCCGCCGCCGTCGTCGTCGTCCGTGGAGTGGAGTCACAGGAAAAGTCTCCAGTTAGCTTCAACACTTGGTTTCTAACTCACATCCATGGGTGAGGCTGAAGTGGGGACTCCTTCGCGGGATCACATGTGCTCGGTGTTCGCCTCTAATCTCCGTGGAGGTCCGGGATCACACTGAGAGAGAGAGAGAGAGAGAGAGTCCCCGAGTCAGAGCGGAGCATCGGTGAACTCTTGCCCTGTGAGCTGCTGCAGACGCCGACTCTCTGATTTGTGATAAAGCTCTCACGCAGTCACAGTCACTGAGACGCGCACGAACACACACCACACACACACCATACACACACACACTTAGGTGAGCCTTTATTGAACTTCACATGGACATAATAAACTCTATGGTTTAAAAATATACTATAAAAATATAATTCTAACTTTAATCTGACTCTGATCCTAAACCTCCAAATACTGTCTCAGTGAATGGGTCCCCGCAAGGACAAAATGTCCCCGTCACAATAGTATTTTTACCCCATATACTGTATATAACTCTACCGTGTACACACACATACACACTGATTTTTTCTTTTTAAATCTTACGTGCTTCACATACTTCACACAGCCATAATACATTCCCCTGCCCCTTATCTTAATCACAACAAATACATGTCATATCCTAACTCCTACTTTAACTGTGTGATCTGACCGCAGTCCTAACCACAAACCACACCTTGAACCTCAGTTGTACTTGACTTCACGTCATGTTAAGTAAACGTCTTCTGTCGTCTCTGAAGTTCAGTGATCCTCAGTCGTTGATCCGACAAGGTCGGTCCCTCTACCAGAATGTGTCCTCTTATAAAGTTCATATGTTTCCAAAACAATCAATAACTTCTACGGAATGATTGGAGAAAACAAGTGATTGACTGAACTCTGGTCCCAGTCGCTGCTACTCCTCTGGGATCTGCGTTGAATGTGAAAATCCTTCTATTGAAATGACACAATGGGCAGAGGGAGCTGGAGAGTAGGGGGGTTAGTTGGGGAGGGGGGGTCTGGAGGAATTCACCAAACCTAAACAGCGACAGAGCTCTGTAGTCGTGAAAGAGGAGATGGTGGGAGAAGGGGCCTAAATTTAAACGTTTCCTCTTTGTCCTGTTTTCTGCCCCATTGTCATCTCGCTGCATTCTCCCTCTCGTGCAGGAAGGAGTGGATCTGACATCAACACGCTCGGCCTGACAATGGCAGGAAGTCTGTCCGACTGTATGTAAATATCTCTATGTGTCCATGCTTCCCTTACTCAGCCACCGAGCAGCTCTCCGCTCGCCGGCCGCCTCAGATCTGGAGCCTCGGTCGTCGTCGAACCAGCAACTGTGATTTAGACGTATGTTTTTATAACTCTGAGTTTGTCACAAACATCTGATGTCTGACCTGGCTTCTTGGTTGGACACTGTCACAGATTTTTATATATTTTAGTACATAATATTTTATATAATATTGATAAAGTTTAACTCAGGCTGGGTGTGAAAACAAACGAGGATTTAAAACAAATTTCTGTTGAAAACTGATTATTTGAAAAAAAAATTACATACAAATTCCCTCTCTTGTTTTTTTCTACTGAACATTTTTTTTCCAAATAAATGTTTTAACCAGAATTTTGAGCCTCAACTTGTTTGTTTTCTCCCACTTCCTTTTCTCCCTCCCTCCATCCCTCCCCCCACTCACCCTCTTCCTTTAAACCCCTAGCAGTCTCCCCCACCACCCCAGCCCTGAAGACATCCTGACTCAAACAGGCCCAACGTTTCACACCTGACCTGCTGACATTTATCGTTACGTTCATTCCAAAATCAGTGTTTTATAAAAACTGTGTGAGAGGAAAAGAAAAAGAAAAGACGAGTGGAGGAAGTGAGAGAGTTACGGAGGCTGGAGCGGCGCCCTCTGTGGCTGAAATGATGATGAAGTATTTACTAATGTGTCGACAACATTTCAGCAGGTTCGTGTTGTTGTCGTCGTCTTTTTTCTACGGTGGTTGAACAATTCAAACACAGAACACAGAAATGATGTCATCCATGTCTTGTTTTTGGAACAATCGGCTTTTTCCTCCTCCGCCTATGACACGGTGGACCCTCCAGCACACACACACACACACACACACAGACACACACACTCTGCCACTGGTTTTAGGCCCAGCTGTAATTATTTCACCAGTCTTTGTCAGAATTCTCTGAGTGAAAACAGGTTGCTGTGAAAAGCCGGACAGACAGGGTGGGAATGGGGGAGGAAACCAAGGTGGTGCGTGAGTGAGGGGGCGGGGGGGAGGAGGAGGGGGTTTACAGATATGTTGTGATATCAAATGAAACGCTCACTAAAGCCTGGGAACTGAACACGGGAGGTGGGACTGGAGACCGGCTGGGGATTTTAGTCAAATTGAATTTTTTTTAGTGTGGAGACTGAAGGACGGTGTAATGTCTCTATTGAACCACACGGGTCAGCATGGGTCGCTCCACACATACACACATACACACACACACACCCTGACATTAAGGTGAACCTTTTCATCCACCTTTGGAATAAAACTATTCCCCAGCAGCAGCACCGTCGTCCAGGATGGTGAAATGAAGTTTGAATTACACTGACATTCCTGACATTCCCTCAGCACTGACCTGCATACCCTGGCACACACACATGCACTCTCACATGCACTCTCACATGCACTCTCTCTGTCACAAACATATATAAACCATGCAGTAAGAATGTACCTACGATCAGTTAAGGATAATCAATTAGTTTAGGTTAATCAATCAGTCGGGCCTGTGTCACATACACACACTCTAACATGTACATGTGAACACACACACACACACACACCTACACACAAACGTATGTTTGTTCCCACATGACAGGAACAGGAATGTTGGTCTGAAGGTAAATGTTCTGCCAACACAGACGACGAGAAAATTAGTAATTTTTTTTGAGTATACAGTATGTGTTTTTGGTTTACAGATATTCTTACTAGGATTAGGGATATTTTTTTTTTTTTTTTTTTTAGTATATGTGTTTTTAGTATACAGATATTCTTACTAGGATTAGGGATATTTGAGGTTAAGGTGAGGGTCAGGGGTCAGCACGGCTCACCACCAAGAAAAAACCTTTTAAAAAAACCCTAAAAAAATTTTAATTTTTTACCAACAACAAAACCGTCGTCACAAAAAGCCACAGAAACATGTCAGTGTTTACTGTACGTGTTGTCAGTGGGTTAGTTAACTAGGTTAGTCTGGTTAAGATCATTTACGGTTTGGCTGAAAAAGAGTAAAAAAGAACAACTCTCTCTCTCTCTGTGTGTGTGTGTGTGTGTGTGATGTGTGGCAGGAGCTTTAACTGGAGACTTTCAAACCATTATCAGGATGAATCTGAAAACAGGAAGGCCAGTTCAAACAAACAAGACAAGCGGAAGAAAACCACAGTTCTACTTCCTGTTTGAAAGGAAACGGCAGATTTTTGAGGAATTCAAATCAGGGGCAATTCTCCAGAAAGAAGAGAAAAAGAAAGAAAAGGTTTTAGTTTTTTTTTTGCTTTAACACTTTTTTAGACGATCATTTTAGTAAATCAAGAATGATTTTTTCCCAGGTCTGTTTCTGTTGTCAGAGAAGTCGGATGTTTGTCGTGATTTGCGTAATTGTTATCTGTTCTGTCTCTCCATCTCAGAGTTGAAGAGAGAGAGAGAGAGGTGGGGGGGCTGGGGGGGAGGCCGTCCAGCACAAAGCAACCATTTCACTCATTCGTGTGCTTCCATAAAGCAAACCTAACCTGGGAGAACTCATGGGAGGGGAATGGGGGAGGAGGGGAAGGTGGGGGTGAGGGCAGATGAGAGATATTTAACCGAGTGAAACAAAAGGAGATAAAACGGTACCATTTATCCTGGTTCTTCTTGGAACAAAGCTTCAGGACTGCTGAGGAGTAATGGGTCAGGACCCAGAGAGAGAGAGAGATAGCTGGTACACCACTGGTACACGGCTGATTGATCTTAGACCAGTAATCCACGTAGCCACGCGCCCGGTAAGCTAAAGTTGTCTATTTTATCTCCTTGATGAATGTTGACCCCCCCGGCCGTGTCACCGTCTCTGGTCAGTGTCAAACGGTTCGCTCAGGCCTTTTAAGTTGATTCCACGTCCACGTCCCGAGCGTTGGTGCAGTCGTGTTTTTACTGGAATGTTTTCTGGAAAGGAAATAAAAATAGAAATGGATCAAAATGGAGGATTCTTGAAATGAAAAAAATGAACCAGTGCTGCATGGCAAACATTTAACACCGCGTCCTTCTTATTAGCAGGAGGACAAGTCCAGGTTTGTTCTCTGGTATTTCAAACAAGCCGTGGACACATGTCCCTGAACTGTAAGCCAATCAAAACATCACGGGACAGAAGAGAACCAATCATCAACAGACATTTCTGGGAAAGCGTGATATAAAAGTGTAAATTAATATCCAGAGGTTCAACTCCAACTCAAACAAACTACAACATAAACAGATGTAGTAAAATTAGAAGATTACATTTTGAAATTTAAATGTTAAAAAAGTAATTAAATTTTCTAAGACGTGTCTAAAAGTTAAAAAGTGACCGCAGTGGTTTAACAGTAAATAAGTGAGTAATAACTCACTTACTCAAACAAACTACAACATAAACAGATCTAGTAAAATTAGAAGATTAGATTTTGAAGTTTAAATGTTTATTTATATGTTATTTATATGTTTATTTATAATTAGCTCTGCATGCTAACGACCCGCGCACTGAGGTGTTCTCTACTTCAGGGGCAGACGTTTTTATTTTATTTTTTAATTTTTTTTAAACATACAACTACTGGTTCACAATGACACATAAACGTTTAGATGAAGAGAGACACCTAGTGGAGCCAATTAATTAAAACAAGTTTTCTCCCATGACGATCGACATTAGATCACGGCTCTAAAACACATTTTCTGATAATGAAGTTTTATTTAATAGTTTTCTCCCATGACGATCGACATTAGATCACGGCTCTAAAACACACTTTCTGACAATGATGTTTTATTTATTTAATAAAAAATATTTTATTTTTATTGTCAAACGACTAAAGCATTTTAATTAGCCAAGAAATAAACAAACAACTATTAACGCTTCTTATTTTGTCACACACGACGTCACTTCCGCTTATTGTGGACAATTTCTAAATGCAGACGTGTGTGTTTACGTTAGCTCGGGACAGTTTGTTGCTTAGTATAAAAATACTTTTGTGTTACTAATGACAGTATGTGTACTTTGTCTTCCTACATCATGGATTTTTGACAAATTTAAAACCCGGAATTCTGCGTTACGTAATTTTAAAATGCATTTCGGTGGACAAACGTGGGGTTCATGGGACACATACGTCACAGATGTGAGACCCCCGGACTTTGAGACCCCCTCCACTAAGAGCCCGTTACACTCTACTGTACAGACAAGACAACGCTTTTAAACACTCGCTTGCAGTTCGGATCACTGCCACATGATGGCACTCTGGCTTTTCCAGTGGCCTTCATCCATCGTTCCACTGCAGAATCTGCATCCTGCAACTGTAGGATTCTGTAGCAGCGGATTAGGAGACAATCCTTTTATATTAACAATTAAATCTGAGAATATCGTCTATTTCAGGAGTAACAAGACCCCGGGAGAATCAGACGGCCAGATCAGAAGTGATGAACCGATGAATCTGACAACACGAACAACCAGGACTTTAATTTCACCACAGAGTTCTGAGGTCTTTGTTCACCATTTTCTGAAAAAAAAAAAGGCTTTACCTTTTAGATGTGTTCAGTGAAGTATTTCTACTATCAACCCTGAAAAAAAGAAAACTTTGATTCTCCCCCCACCCTGCTTTTGTCTGCAGGTGAATTAAAGCCCAGTATTTATACGGTAGCTTCAGGCTCATGTGTTCGGGATGAAAGTGTTATTACACATGCAGGGAATCCATTGCTAGCGCGCGGCCGTACACGCCCTCAGAACTCCAGCGGTTTGGGATTCAGCCCCTCAGCTGTGTGCCAATCAATGGATCACGGTCATACTGCTGAAACCGCGACCCCCTGATACCTTTTTTGAGAAGCCGTGCCTTGAGCTGAAACGTAATTTGGTGTGAAAGTAAAGCATTAGACCTTAGAGATGGGGCTAGCAGTAAAAAAGTAGATGTGATTAAGGCTACAGCCATCGATTGGATCTCCGTCGCTGGTTGCCATGCTGTTGGGATGTTCTGCAGAAAAGCAGAAGATGATTTTCCACCCTGACACCAGGTCATTTCATTTGCTTTTGGACATTTGCGGCGGAGGAGTGGAGCCGAAGCCCGAGTCCAGCCGTGGACGCCCGATGACAATTAATTGATGCGAGTTGGCTAATGGCTGGCTTTAAATTAAAAGCTCCAAGTCAAGTGGAACTTTCTCATTTATAATTCAGCGGAGCGCATCGTTCCTCGCTTAAAGAGGAAAGATAAGAGGCTTTTTAATCTGCACGTGGAAGACGTTCGTCCGTCTCTGCTGTGGACGCCAGTCAGTCAGGAGGTGGAGACGGCGGCGTTCCCCACGTTCACCCCCGTGGTTCTCCCATTGTACTGGAGACGACACTCATCTGTTTAAAGGATGACGCTACAGAATATGTGAAGGGACCAAAAGTATGATGTTATTAGTGGGGGAGAGAGAGGGAGAGAGAGAGAGAGAGAGCTGTCAGAGGGGTGAGAGACCAGCACTTCAAGCTGAAGACACTTTTCTTTCATGTTAGCAGCTGTCCAAATCCAAAATGGCCAATTACTATCATTTTCTGCTAATGGTGGTGAAGATAGTGAGGCAGTCTGAGAGGGAGAGCGAGGGGGAGAGGGAGGGAGAGGGAGATAGAGAGGGAGAGAGAGAGGCAGGAAGGGAGGCAGCAGAGGAAGAGGCAGCCGAGATTAGTCAGGAAATATAACTGTATTTCTGCAGTGGAGAAAATGGAAATCAGACGACGTTCACCGTGACAGAAGGTGAATCCATCATCTGCAAAGAAATTGATTCAATTAGACGGGTCCCTGTGGTGTGAGGATCCAACGCCAGATTGTTTTTATGGAAATGATTGTAATTGTAATGTCTCAGAGTCTTTTCACATTGATTATGCAGTGTAAATAAACAGGGAAAAAACACAGCGACAGTACACGCAATGTGAAAACACAGAGCCACCAGCCTGGGTGTACTGTACTGTGTACTGTGTACTGTGTACTGCACACTGTACTGTACTGTACTGTATGCACGCAGGAAAGAGAGAGAGAGATAAGAAGAAGAAGAAGAAGTGTTAGCGTAGCCTGTGATATTATTTTTATTAGCAGTGAGACGAAGACGAAGAGTTTCCTCCGGAGACTCCGAGGTCTGATCTTTACCAGGAGGTAAAAAGCCGTTGGACTTTGAAGGACCGCTCGCCCGTCGTGTCTTTAACGTATGGTACGAACTCCCAAACAGAACGAGGTTTTTTTTTTTTTTGTCAGAATCACGTCGTCAGGGGAGCTCATAAATCGCAGCCAATAAAAGTCACACGGTGTGACACGGTGCTGTGTTAAATACCCCGGGATTATTTCTCACAACAAACGGAACAAACGGAGCCTCGGCGAACGGCTGACATTTGTCGGAGCAGTTATGAAGGGTGAGAGTTGTGTCTTTTCATCAGGATTTATAATGCACTGCACAGTACCACACGTGGGTGGCTTTAGTTGCTGCTGAAAAGGAATAGAAAGTCAGTTTGCTGACCTTTCCTTCGACCTTAGCAACAGACTGACATCAATATCAGACGCTGCCGTCTGACAGGAAGAAAAGAGAAACTTTGGCAACACTGTCAAGTCAAACAAATTAAAAAAATAAAATAAAATAAAATAAAAACACCCGGTTCCAGGGTTCCAGATCCAAACAATAGCCTTGATAACGACAAGAGGGTTAGCTCCAAGCTAACACCCTGCTAATTCTCATTACTGGGCACTTGTTTGCGTTGATTAATTCCTCCGCAGCTCGGCCCAGGCTGTGACGATAACAACCAGACTAGCATGTCTCACTACCTCCATCTGTCCTGCTAGAACATATCTGGCAACACAGCACCGTCGGAAGACCAGAACAGCTAATCTGCCTTATTTACCCGTCCCACTACGGCTGCATAGTCACAAACGTCGTCCCCTCCTCCTCTGTCCCGGGGGGTAAATATTTCCCCACTGTCCACACGCTCTCACAAAATGTTGATTTATCCTCAGCCAGTTAAACTGGCCCGTGCATATGGCGCCTTTTTGTTTTTATCACGACGCAGCCACTGTGACGGTGCGTTGTATAATTACAGCCCGACTGTTAGCGCCGCCGCCGAGGTCTCTTCACTGGACTGCAGAGACCTCGCCGTGTGAGCGTGAACCCAGCTGACATTTTGTCTCTGTATTGTCCAACAAAAGGAGAACTCTTTAATGGCGCCTGGTTTTACTGTAATGAACCGAGGGTTCGACTTATTTTTACTCTCCTCAAAGGAAACGAGGAGCTGAGGAGGGAGTCTAGGAGAGAGGAGAGGAGAGAAGGAAAAAGGGCTGAGGATCTAAGTCCTCGTCTGACTATTTATGTTGGTGAAACAAAGAGAATATGGAGCAGACCATTTAACTTAATGCTCTCTCTTCTTTGCTAATGGTCTGAAGATAATTAGTAATACTAATCAAAACACTTGTGTCTGCTCTCCCCCGGTGCGTCATCTCCCCTCAGGGCCCGTGGAAACTGTCGGCGGCCGTGAAGGGCGCTCGCTTGTTCTTTTTTATGTTTCCAGAGGACAGACATGAGAACGCTCTAATGTATTTCCCATCTGCCCCGTTTACGGCTGCCGTCTAATATCTATCTCGGCGTGTTGTTTCTCTCTGCGTCGACAAACGCCGCATTAGCGCGCCGAGATTGCCGTAATGATTCCGATCATTCGCTTGCCATATTTTTCTCGTCAATAAAATATATTAACAAGTCAAATCCAGGAACGGGCAAAGAGGGGGAGTGGGGGGGGGGGGCGCTCGCCGGGGGGGGGGGGGAAAGAAAGGGGGCCGGGGC